CGGTGGATTTGGCTAAGATCTGTCTAGACTGCATGTTTGGTAACACTCCTATGAATTACCGAGGAATTGGCAATAAATTGCATATCGTGCCTCTAGATACCCGGACGTCCGACCCTGCTACAAGCCCCACGAACTTGCACGATGCCACCAATTCTCTGGGACGAGCCGAAGGACGGAAGCGAAGCCAACTGGCCAAGTCCTATACTCCTTCCACTTTGCCGGCTGAGATCCCTCGGCCAGCATTGGGGTCTAATGGAAGTGGATCTAAAGAACCGCGGAGACGGACCATTCTCATCACTCGTACCTTTTCGGTTGCTCCGCCCATGGAGGAACGCGATTCTTCCCACACCCATGCACCAACACCGCAGAATTCTGTTGGGAAGAGTACTGGATTCCCTTTTCCCGGTACTGGCGCTCGTGGACAAGCAAAGCCAGCCCAGCCGCCGCAAGCGCTGAAAACGCCCATGTACGGAATAACCATGATCCTCCATCTGCCGGTTGCTGCTCCCATGCCACCTCCTTCCCGACCGGGCAACCCTAAACCAGGCGGTCCCGTGCCCAGTTCGGTTCCAGGTAACGAATCACTCGGATCCTCCTTGGATTCGGATAGCCGAGCAGGGTGGGCTTTCGTTGACCCTAGTTTTGGCGTAGAGTCCTTCTTGTCGACATTGAACAGCGATGTGGATGACCGTGTGGACGTCATTGGTCAACATTGGGATGTTATCACACGCACTCTAACCAGTCTCCAATTCGTGGTGCAGGAGCGTATCCTCGCTCGATTCAGAGCTCAAGAAACGAGTTCCTCCCCTGTCATTCAACAGCCTCGTGGACAATTGGGTCGTTATGCTAGTCGAGAAATGCCGGTGCAACAACCCCGTCGCGCGTTGAGGCTGCAGCCCAATGCTCTCGCTCTGGACGAGAAGATCAAAGAAGCGATTCAGCTGGCACAGGAGAGGGCGGTTCGTGGAATGAAAATACCACGTGTGGTAACGGGTCAAGGCAAATGGGGAGTGTGGCGGGAAGAAGCACGGTGGCTAGGCAGATGGGCTGGACACCGAGAGGAGAATTTCTTCTTCTACAATTTGCTAACAGCCTTCCTGGGAAACCACACCGAATGGCTCGACCAACTGGGACCGAAGTGGTACCGGAAACGCCATCGTGAACAGCAAAAAGCCAATGGCGGAGAGTTTGTGACCATCTCGAGCCGGACTGTGATTGTTTCCCCAGACAAGATGGCTGCCCGGAGGCTCATTTTTCTTTTGGCTGCTTTCCTGCCGACAAACACACCCGGAGCATACGATAGTCCATCTCCAATGCGACCAGGCACCTCAGCGTCGTTTCGGGCGTACTCACAGTCCCCTCCCACGAACATGCCGCTTTCCAGAAAACAGTCGCTGCGCCGTACAATCAGTCGCCGCCCTCGAGGAAAAGAGGGCATGACCAACACGGGACTGCAGCCTCCTGTTTTGTGTAGCGCTTCGTCTACCCCAGAGTCTGTCGAGAAGCCAGACTCGAGTGTTCCAGACCCTATCAAGCGACCTCAGCATTCGCGCGCTTCGTCCTCGCATTCAGTGCGCACCAGCTTCCTCATTCCATCCATGTCTGATAGTGCGGCAAAGACAAAGAGCAGTACGGGGACTACGTCTGGCCTCGCTTCTCAGGATGCAGCACCCGTCGCCCATTTCACATTGCCTAGGACCACTTCTTCCGGCCTACAGGAGCATAAACCGGAGAGCAACGACAGTTTGGCGTCTGCGAATTTGATGCATACTTTGCAACGGAAGGGCACCGGCCATACTAGTACAGCCAGCACAGACTCTTCTGGTACCAGCCGCTGGGGAAGTTTATTGAGCTTTTGGAGCGGAGGTCGACGTTCCTCTACGGACCACAGCGATATCCTGCAGACGACAGACGATGGACTCGGAATATCCAGCACGGGATATAGAGGACCAGATGCTGCCCCCTCCGCGCTCGACCGGATGGTTCAAGAACTGTCGATGGAACAAGGTCTTTTTGGAGATGTGAACGATATGGAGCGTTCAACTGATACGGTGACTACTGCCGACAGCTCTCCAGAGCATAAGCCCATCGGCGGAACCAGTGGGGTACCCGCCTCTGCCGCTAGGCCAATTCCCGAACGACCGAGAGCCTTCGACTCCTCGCCTCTGAAACTCTCCGTCAACGAAAAAGATGGAGTCATCGATGTGGACATCCCGCTCCCAGACTTCGGATCCCCGCTGCAGTCGCCACTCATGGGTAACTATGCATCAAGCCAAAACGGTTCCAGTTATGGTGAATCCTCCGTCTTGAGCATGCCTTCTTACGAGCCAGAGCAACCAGTCAATGTAGCTGGATGGCTTTCCGAATTCCATCCCGACTTCGCTGTGCAAGCTATCAAGCCGTACGACAATTTGATGCGCGATATTAAGCACGCCATGAGCGCTGAGCCTACACCTATGGCTACGGCTGCGACCCCGACCTTGGAGCAAGGACCGCTGGAAAAGTGGGTAGATATTTGCTCTGCCCTCGTCGCCGACACCCGCAGCTTCAGCATCAAACGCCTACGCCTCCGTCGTCTCGTTAGAATTATTCCGACGCCTACTTGGAATCAGTCCGCCATGACGCCCGGTATCTCCGGTGTTCCAGGCCGTTCGCAATACGGAAATCCCTACACTGCATCAGGCAACGGTCCTTTGATGGCGGAAGTCCATCTCCAAGAGAAATTCACCGAGGAACTCATCATGGATTTCGACACCACGCTCGTCGACGCCGTGGACCATATCTTAGCCCAGTCTGGACAACCTTCCAGAGTCCATTCTGCAAGTTCATCTAGATCAAGTTCTAGGCGGGGAAGGAAGGAGCTCAGGGCCGAGACTGAGACCGCGGCTGCTACCATCGCCGGCGCACCGCAGCAGGTGGATTGCAAAGCCGTTCTCTTCGACGCGCTGAAGAGTGTTGTGGATGCTGTAGCTATGGAGCGGAGTCCACCGCTTAGTAGTGATGCGGCTGGTGCGAAGGAGGGGAAGAAAGGGAAGGTGCCAAGAGTGAGGACAGGTGCGGACTCGAGTTTGAAGGAAGGGGTTAGGAGGTGGTTGGCTGAGGTTGAGTAAGTTTGTTGTTTGTGCTTTTTGATGTTTTGATAAGGGAGATGTTAATTTGGAGAAGAGAAAATCATTGTTCAGTTTGTAAGACTTGTGTGAGGTGTGGACGGAAGAAGGAAGTAGCGAGTCCGCTTGCTGGGAGAGAGAGTCCGGTGAAGACTCGAATCACTGGGCCGGAGTGACTTGGCTTGAGGGCGAGTCTTTTCAACACCTTGTTGGAGACGCTTCTGGTTCTTGTGTGTTATACCATATTCTTTGTCTTGACCAGGAGTCCGTTGGGGGGGCTTTTTTAAAGCTTGCTACTCTGCGGTTTTGTGGGCGTTTTGGCACCTCTCGAGAAGATGGGAGGTTTTACGGCCTTGTTTCCTCTTTTGATCGATTGAGCATCTGACTGGCAGGTCGCTCATACAGTCATCCTAAGGTGCTAATAATGGTGATGGGAGTTAGTGGTTGTGTTTGACGAATACTTGAAGTATAACGATTGCATTGTTCGGCATGGCATAGCAAAGGAATATCACATGATTCGAACTTAAGCTCTATACATACACTAGATGGAGTGACTCTTTTTACAAGTGAACTGATAATTCGAGGCTGTTAGCTGGAGAGACATCAAATAAGTAGGATCGAATTAATTGTAAATGGGCTATTAAAGTGTACTGAAGTGGAAGAGCTAGAGAAGACGGCGGTGTAGAGAAAGAATACGAAGGGAAGAACAATTAAAGACCAATAATTCAGTTATCCACTTCATCCAGTTCCGATCATCTACGAATAATCTTTGATCCTCGGCGAATCTATAAGTCGCAAGAAACATACTTCGTACGAGCGATACCGCGTTTTACGATAATTTTGAGTAGAAGAAGAGAATTTATAAATCAGGTTGCATATAAGACAATATTACGCTTTTTCCAGTGTTTGAGGCTAATAGATGATCTCAATTGCATGTTAGACATCTTCTAGAATACAGATGTCGTCTTTTGGGTCAAGGCGGAAGGAGCATATTGAGCTGTACGATTAGGGAAATTGTAGGAGGAAGTACCCTTACAAGTTCCTTGTTGCATAAAGCCATTTGCTCGTCGCAAAACCTTTTTACTGATTCTTTCCCGCGATCCCATAATATCCCTTTGCCATTTCATACCAAGGATCTCTCCTGGCAAGAAAAGAGCAGAGTGATGATGTATTCACTCATTGCGCGGTCAAAGGTAAGTCTACGGGGAATTAATTTTATATATATATATGCTGGTTGAAACTTTGCAGAGATTGAACATTCCAATTTGTAGAGGACGTTCGATATTAACAATGAATGTCAGTTTTGAACTAAAAATTTCGAACGTCGATGGCGAAGGAAAATCGAGCTACATAATTGCTGAATCTTAAAATTAGAACGCAGTTTGGATGAATATATCAATCTTCAGGGCTATTCTTGAGAGTTTAAACATCGTTTTGCGAAGATCAAACTTACAAGTAGCATTAAGCGCCTCATGCAGCGTGTTTAGGAAGACGTCAAGTCGGTGCCTAACGCTCTGATCTCCACTTTTCGCAAATAGAGTTTTAATAAGAATTGGGCCTCTTCTAAACTAAGTAGATCGAATAGGTTAAAGCCACAGATGTCTGACTATATATAGACTTCACACTCTCTTAAAGATCTCGCTTCTAGGAACTGAATCTATCACAAGCCCAAATTTAATGATAGACTAAGATAACGACGACAACCTCTTGTCATAGGAAGTAATTTGTATAGAGATATGGTGAATAAATAAATAGAAACAAAAGTTTAGAGAAAATAATAGAATAACCAGCATCACATAAAGTTATTTTCTGTCAAGGCAGAGGGGTTAGAAAGACAAAACCAGTAAAAAGAATGCATGCAGACGCAAGAGACGAAAAAAAATATACGATGAACTCTCCCTCGGGGAATCGAACCCCGGTCTCCCGCGCTTGTTATCCGAAGGTGGATTGACAAGCGGAAATCATGACCACTAGACCAAGGAAGACTTATCACTTGATGTATAAAAAGGTAAAATAATGTAATTATATCACCAAATAAAAACGCTTTTGCTGCTTGATGTTTCAGACTTTTCATTTAATGCTCGGGCTTATTGATTTGGAATTCCTGTGTACATTTAACTTCATCAACTAACTGGTGGTGCTAAAAGTCGCAGCATAAGGATACCGAGGTATGGACGGCCCGATGAGTTTTGTAATACGGTTATTCGCTTCTGAAGCGAACCCCTGGCCACTTTGTCGCATCGCTGATTGTCAGGAGTTCTGCAAGATAGGCATAGGCTTGATCGGAACTTGCCATTATCCATGATGTGGGTGACCTGGATGGTGTGGCATACACCTGATCTCTACTCTTCCTTTACGCACTGAGGCATCAACGTAGATACCTACCTGCCCAGGCTTGCAGTTATTGTTAACGAATATGGCCTTTGTTTGTCTTTGCTTTTTACCACCTTTGGACTTGTGTCAACGCACTGGACCTGCTTCTTCGTCGTCACGTACCCGCTCACCAAATAATGCAAACGTGTTGGGGAGATATCTTCTCGTCTTTGCACGTGACCTTAATATGGCTGTCGCAGACCTGGACTTCGATTGACAGTTCGTCCGTTATACTATACAGGCCACACAAGAGACGACAGAGCTTTTCTTATTAACTGCTCAGGTAATATCTTGGTAAGTGCTCTATATTTGTCTGCCGTGGAGTCATGGGGTGAATGAGTAATCAACGCGTCGCTGCAAATCGTCTCATCCCGTCCATGCGGGTGCCTTTCTGCTTTTCTCTCTCAACCTCAGCCTTCACCACCCCGTATTGACATCTGCACTGGCCAGGAATCCATCGTTCAGAGAATAACCTTCGATACATTACCTCACCTGTTCCTGCAGTAGACTTCATACCTGTTGCTATGTCTTCTCTCGCGTCTCTGTTCGTTCTTTTCTTCTGTTTAAATTCGTAACTATAATTGGCTGCTTTACGCATCTCATCCATTTCGTCTTCTAACACGTCTCTTTTTTCTTGCAATGTCACATCTATTTCCAGTTACAGTGTTGTATCCTCTGCTATTTACTTCTGCAAAATCTTCCGAGCGGGTGTTCTAGATGATGCCGGATTCACATACACATCCCAAATTGGCGGTTATAAGATCGCAACAGATTTCTCGATCAGGTATCTCTCTGATTTATGGGAATGATACTTGGCGGAGAAATGAGAGGTTTACAGCTGCAAGACATCTGTTCGATTCTCGGTTCAATGCTTACACCATGCACTGCGAATGTCAAGCATTTTCACGAGTTACCAAAAAGTGCACCAGTGCCATCAACTTTCTTGCCCACTAAATTTCACTCCACGTAGGTTAACCATGCGGTTCAGCATTCCTTTACTTTCCTAGTTTCTCGTTCCCCCTATAGCTCTCCGCTCATTTCGCCTCGAGCGGGCCGCCCGGCCTATTTCCTCCTACTGAAGACCCCACGACTGCTCCAAATGGAGGTTTGGGCGACGCGCTTCTGATTACCAAAATTGCGTTCGGTTCTTCTGGACATAACTATGGCCATAGGGTGCTACGACGGCGTCTTTTCGTACGGGAGGAGACTGGGGCAGGGTCACTGGCGATATAAGCACCCACAAGGATAGGTACAACATTTATGTTACGATACGCGCTCTGAAAAAAGTACTGGTTTCTTGAAAGTAACGCTAACAACCCCACCTGAATTTCAGCCACAACGACCAAAAGGAGGGCGGGTGTCTCTTTGGCGCAGAATACAGACAGCCCCGAGAACTTTCGCATCGGAAGCTGCAGCTGCGTGCGCTATCCATGTCAGTATTGTATGGTTCAATTATCGAATAAAGATACCAATGTAGACGCAGACCCCCCTAAGCCCCCTACCTGCCGCATATCCCCAATGGCAAAGTCGAGGAACCGCTCTCCCCCCAACGCAATCTAACCATTACCGCAGCACAGAGTTCAAGAACTACTGCTGGATCAGCCTCAATATGGCCTTTCAAATTGGGTCTCCGCCATTAGCAATACAGCTGCTTCAAGATACAACTTGGCGTCAGACGGCTGGACCCATTTGAATAAATATGGAGGAGTTGTATTTGCTAGATTGGTTAGTGGTTTGTTAGTGAGTAAGAATCCTGAGATCAAGCAAGTCACAAAGGCTAATCCGCCGCCAAGTGCAACTTTGGCCGCGCGGAAGCCCACCCAGAAGGTATACTTCTCTTTACCTTTACTTTGTTCGAATCAGAGATGCTTTCTTATCACTGCTTTGGAATTAGATATATTCCTTCTCCACTCTTTAAAGACCAAAGACATGCGGTTGCCAAAAAAATAGCTAACCCGCTTCTCAATCAAGCCAATCTCTGCACTCGGATCCTGTATTCATCAATCGTTAATCCGATAACAAGTCATGAAAATTGGAATCAAATGAAACAATTAATGATAGTTCTATTGAGACATAGCCATGGACGTCCAACTGAAACAGAAAGAAACCTCAAACCGCCAACTCCAAAACCCATTCATAACAGTACAGTCTGCAGCTTAGGCTTTACACCCGTCCAGCCAACCACCGATAAGCCTTCTGGATCTCATCCCAACCCTTGTCTGAGAAGGTGTCAAAGAGATGCTCAACACCATCCAACAGCTCAATCTCACTCTCTACTCCTCTGGCCTTCAGTCCATCCACAACACGTTGGCTATGCTCCCATGGAATTAAATCATCAGCTGTACCGTGAATCAGGTACGTGGGCGTCCAGTAATTTCCTCTTACAATTTGTGCAAATGGACTGATGGAGATGACACGGTCGTGAGACGGCTGCGGGAGACGAGCGACCGCATCGGCCGATTGGCCGATTTGCTGCAGCCGGTTCTTTGATGGCAGTCCGTTGAGAAGTACGGGGAGTGTCTGCGCACGCCAGTTCATATGCAGGACAAAGCGCCAGCGAGGATCATCAAGATCCATACGCATTCCGGGGTAGTTGATGTTGGTGGTTGGGTAGTGACTTGCGATCTGGACTTGGTTAGAATTGATGTGACTTATGTGAAACTAACGAATACATACAGGTTCATCTTGAACTCCTTCGAGGAGGTCATATGGCGTATCCGGGCTCTGAACAGCTGGAAGTGGGTAGATTGGCCGCTGCCACCACTCAGACTCGTAATCAGTGGGGCAGTAGAAGGCTAGGATGGCCTCAGGCGGTTGGATACCCTTTTGCCGGGAGGTGAATGCGGTTGTCATAGCCAAATGCCCTCCAGTTGACCAACCGACAACTACAACCCTGCTGCCATCGACGTTCAGTCCGGGGCAGTTCAACTTGATCTGGGGCAATTGGTGCCGAGCCCAGAAGAGAGCATCACAGGCATCGGTCATGGGTCCTTCAAGGATATTAACTTCTGGGCAGAAGCGGTATTCAATGCTGACAGGGAGGAACCCATGATCTAAGAGCAGCTTGACCTGCTTAGGGTTCACCTCCTTGCGGGTGAACATGACGTGGCCTCCGCCATGAATCATAAGTGCTATTCGAGGTTAGTTTGGGCCAGAAACTGTCTTCAGTTATATCACTTACCAACTGGGCGTCTAGCTGCAGTGACCTTATCAGAGGAGGGGAAGTAAATATCCGCCATCAACTTGCAATTGCCAGCTTGTTTCCACTGGACAGTTTGCATGAGGACCTCAGACCTCCGTTTCCGGGACACTCTTCGAACTTTGAGAGCATCGCTTTGTGGCTCTGCGGGGAACGCGGTGATGATGCGCAAAGTACGCGATTCTTCGCTAGAGCCATCAGTCCAGGAAACATGGCGGAACCCAGCAGTCCGCATACTGCTATCCCAGAACCACTGATCAGCCAAGACGTGCTTGCGGCCATCCTCGAATAACCACCAGCCATCGAGAAGGCCAAAGACGAGGTCAAACCAGAACATGTTGCGAGTGAACTCAACGACTGAAATGAACCCATCGGGTCGGACCATACGGCGCATATTGGAAGTTGATTTGGTCAAATTCCTGGTGGCATGGATGCAGTTCGTAGAGAGGATAACATGGTATTTGTTGACATGTTGCTCAGGTGGGGATTTCTCAACATCCAGAATCATGAATTCCATGTTATCACGGCCCGCGAATTTCTTCCGAGCAGCGCTGACTAGAGCACCAGAAATGTCTGTGAAGGTGTATTTGAACGGAATGCCGAGCTCAGTGAGCTGATTGACGACGTGCTTAGTGGTCCCCCCGGTGCCACCACCGAGCTCGAGTATATGGAAAACTCCCTCAGACACTGGGTTTTCCATTGATTTGGCTAAGAAGTCCGCAAGTTGCATCGTAATGGCCTCGTACATTGGGCCTAGTTGGTATACTCTTTCGAGGAGTTCCTTGTTTGACTTGTCACGGAAGAGGAGCTTGAGGGGGTCGTCTGTGCCTATGAGGCATTCTGCCAATTTGGAACCGGTGATATGCAACAGCTTATGCTCGTCGGCATGCAGTGGGAACATCTGGATAATTTGCTGGAAGATGACATCGGAAGGTGTGGCATCGAGGGGCTCCTCGGTGCGGATCATATCGACACCATTGGAAGATACCAAGTATGCATCCTCCAAGATGGCATAAAGCTGCTTCACCAACAAGTCATGTCTGGGGAGATAGTTGAATGAAGGAACCGTTTGCCCAGGAGACATAGTGGACAAGTCACTGCCCAATTTCTGGAATGCTTCGACAGTATACGCGAGAACAAGCTTGGCCTGCATAGGGTAGACATTGTTCCAGAATCCCGAGAATCCGGTCTTTTCACAGTACTTGTCGTAATCATAACGGATACTTTCGAAAACTTGCTGAACATCTCCCATGGTCGCGATTTGTTGAGAGGAGGCAGGCATTTTCTCGATGACGGCAGGGCTCGAAGCTCTCAAGAATGCTGGTTTTGGCTTGGAGGGTGGTGGGGATCGTTTCATTACACTCAGAGTTTCTGATTCTTCTCCTGATGACACGGAGGTCATTGTCGAATTAC